CACAGAGAAGGTACCCAACCCAGTCTGGGGAGATTTATAAACCTTCCTGAAAGAAATGACATCTAAGCCAAAACCTGATGCTTAAGGATGAATTGGGCAAAAGAAGGTGGGGCTATACTTTGAAAAGCTCTCCAGGCAGACAGAACAACAGGGGCAAAGCCCCAAAACTCTTCTTGGGAACTGTGGAGTTCCAATTGCCTAGAGTACATGGCTTAAGTCATCCAGCTTTCACAGTAGGACCATCCCCCTGCCTGCTGGATGGAGAACATTTTGAAAGAGAACTAGATTGGAGGCAAGGTGACCAGTCAAGCCTAGATTAGGGTAGAAGTGGTAGGAATGGAGAGAATGGGGTTCATTCATTGATTCAACAAATAATTATTGAGCAGCTACTATGTGCTAGGTCCCACTGTAGGCATCAGGGATACAGCATTAAAGAAAACCCCTTTCACAGATCTCATATTTTGGAAATGGAAGATAACATTTTTTAAAGTAGAATACATAGTACATGGAGCTATGTGCTATGGAGAAAAAAAACGCAACAGAGGAGGGGAGATAGGGCTGGGAGAGGGGCACATTTTAAATACAGAGGTCAGGAAAGGCCTCACTGCCTAGGCTAACTTGAACAAAGAATCTCAATGAGAGGAAGAAGGGTGCAGTAGGGATATCTAGGGGAAGACTGGTTCAGGCAAAGTGAGGAGCAACTGCTAAGAGCCTGGAGGGGTGGGGCATGGGAGACACACCAGGTGTATTTGAGGAACAGCCAGTGGGGCTGGAGCAGAGTGAGAGAAAGGGGATAATAGGAGATTACTTACACGGAGGCCAGATCCTGTAGGACCTTACTGGCAATTATAAAGTGAGCAGAAGAGTGACACAATCTGACATACTTTTCAAAGATGACTCTGGCTACTCTGTTGAGAATTGACTCCAGGACATAAGGGCAGAAACAGAAACCAGTTAGGACCTACTGAAATAATTAGGCAAGAGTTTGTGGTGAAGTAATGGAGAGGTTAAGAAATAGTCAAGATTTGCAAACATTTTGAAGGGGCAGCAGGTTGGAAAGCGAAGAGGATGAAGATTTTAGTTTCCAGTACATTGAATTCAAGGTATCTGTGGGACATCTGGGTGGACAGCACAGTTGGTTTCATGGGTTTGCACCCAGGAGGGTGAGGATCTAAGCTGGAGACTGACTGGGGAGTCATCAGTATATAGACAGTAATAAAGCCTTAGGAGTAAATGAGGGAGCAGGTATAGGTTAGTAAGAGAAGAGCATGGAGGGCAGCCAACATTTAGGAGATGGAAATTGGAGAAGTCTGTGGTTAGAGAGATACGAAGAAAATCAGAAGAGTATGATGTTTAAGTCAAGGGGAGCCGTCTAGAAAGGTGAGAAATGAGTGGAAGCCTTTAGATTATCCTGGAGGTCATTGGTGAGGAGGCCAGAGAAGGATGCTCCAAAGTGTTTCTTTGCACTGTCTTTAGAGCATGGAATTGAGGATTAGGGCTAGAAAGCCACTTTCTCCTTGTTTATTCACTCAGACATGCATGCATGCGTCATTCATTCAGCATAAGACCTCCCATGTAAGGGGATGTAAAGTACTAAAAGACACATGCTGTGTCCTTGAAGGGCCCACATTAACACCTCCACCCCCCAATCAGGAATAAGGAGATTGAAGGTCCTGAAGCAGAGAAGCTCACTGGTTTTATGGAAGGATCAGGGACCCATGGGTCATTTTGAACTGAGTTTGAATCTCAGTTATACCTTAAAAAAAATTTTTTTTTGGCTGCATTGGGTCTTTGTTGCTGTGCGCTGGCTTTCTCTAGTTGCAGTGAGCTTGGCTACTCTTTGTTGCAGTGCGCGGGCTTCTCATTGCGGTGCCTGCTCTTGTTGCGGAGCATGGGCTCTAGGGCGTGCGGGCTTCAGTAGTTGTGGCTTGTGGGCTCTACAGCACAGGCTCAGTAGTTGTGGCACATGGGCTTAGTTGCTCCACAGCATGTGGGATCTTCCTGGACCAGGGCTCGAACCCATGTCCCCTGCATTGGCAGGCAGACTCTTAACCACTGTGCCACCAGGGACGTCCCTACCATTCAGAACATAATCGCTCATGATTCTGAAATCCATAATCTCCAGCACAAACCTCCCCTCTGAGTCTGTATATACAATTGTCTCCTCTAGGATTTCCACTGGTATAGCTAAAGCAACTCAGATTTAACTTAGAACTATTTAAAATGTCCCCACCCAAACCTAATCCTCTCCAATTGTCTCCTTCTGGGTAAATGGCACCACCACCCAGCCTCTTGTTGAGGCCCAAATCATAAGTTCAGAAGGATATACTATATATATATATACAGTGATAAGCACATCTTGATCCCATTCCTACCCCATTACTATTATGTGTTGATTCCTCTTCGCCCTATGTCTAAATCCTATCTAGTCCTATTGGCTCTACTTTCAAAATATATCCCAAATCTAGTAGCTTCTCACAACCAGCTTCAGGTCCAAACTCCTTACCATGACCCTGTGTGTTCTGGTCCCTACCTGGCTTCTCCCTCACCACAGGCCTTCTTTCTGCCCTGGAACATGCCTGATTGATTCATTGCTTTTGCATTTGTTTTTCCTCCTGACTGAAGCACTCTTTTCCCAGGTTGTCACTTGCCCAACCCCTCCTGAACATTCAGGTCTCAGCTCAAATGTCACTTTTTCTGAGAGTACTGTGTGAGTCCCATACTCTCTATCACAGAAATTATCCTACATATTTAATTTTTTTAAAAAAAGTTTGGTACGTGTTCTCCAGGGAATCCCCAGGGCCTAGAAAAACGCCTGGGACATGAGGCTTTTGTTAAATATTTGTTAACTGACCGGTTGACCCCAGTTTTTTAAGCCTCCATTTCCTTATTAACTGAAGAGAGATAATGCATATTTTGCTTGGTAGTTCTAAGTTAGAAATGTAGGGAAGGGAATTCCCTAGTGGTCCAGTAGTTAAGACTCCGTGCTTCCACTGCAGGGGGCATGGGTTCGATCCCTGGTCAGGGAACTAGGATCCCGCAAGCCACGAGGCCTGGCCAAAAATAAATAAATAAATAACGTATTTAAAAAAATATATATATATATAGGGAAAAGTATTGAGGATATCGGGAAATTGCTGCACAGTGAACCTTTGTAATTCACTGCTCAGTTCCATCTGACAGATGAGCAGACTGACAAACCCTCCTTTCCCTCTCAGGTAAAAAGAGCTATGGGTGAAGAGGCCCAGGAAGATGTGGTCCCACCCCGCAATGTTATCATCTCCCTTTTAAGAAGCGCGGAAACTCAACCCCCATCCCCAATGTTTAAGGTAACCGAAGTTAGTGCAAGTCACATGAGGCCCACGGCTTGCCCCGCCTTAAAGAGGCGGAGCCTCAGCTTGGAGACCAATAGCAGGAACAATCTCCGGAACAGCCCCCAACTCCAGACAGGGAAAAGGGGAGGAGCCGGGCGCCCCAGCAGCTGTAATAGCACTTCCGGACAATACTCCCCGCCCCCTCCTCCCCCCTTCCGCGTCTGCTTATTTCTCCGGTGCCGGGTGGGCAGAACCAGCGGGTGCTGATTACAGGCGCCGCTGTTGCGCTGCTGCTTTCTCCTCTCCTCCCCCTCCCAGTCTCCCCGCCCTTCCCTTGCAGAGTAGCGGGACCGGCCTTGATGTAGGGACACCACCCTCCGCCTCTCTCCGCCCTAGCTCGGGACTCCGGCTCACCGCAGCCCGCTGCCCGCCCGCGTCTCCACCCTGCCAGCCGCACTCTGCTCCGAGCCCATTGTATCCTCCCTATCCCCGGGCTCAGACTCCGAGGCCAGGACGTGGCGGGAAGATCGGGGACCTCTGTGCATCCCTCCAGCCGGTCCCGCGAGTCGGGGCCCCTCCCCCGCTTGCCGTCCTCGCAACGGTGCGGTAGCTGCGAGGGTGCCCTTCCCTCCCTGCTAAGGCTGAGACGGCCGACTGGCGGGCAGCAGGGACGCACCCCCCCACACCCCAGCCCCAGCGGCGAGCACCCCCCACCCCCGTCCCCTTCCTGGGAGAAGGAGAGCCGAAGCCCGAGCGAGCCGAGGCAGGAAAAGGCAGCCGTGGACTGCCCGGCTCGCAGATCATTTTTATTATCGAGATCATTATTAAAAGGGGGCGGGGAGCCCAGGATGCGGGGGAGGGGGCTAGAGACGCAGCTATTTTTATTAAACAGATTATTCCTGAAATAATAATACGCGCAAGATGGCTGAAGGTGGCTGTGATGAGAGTGTTGGGGGGTTTTTTCTTCCTTTTTTTTTTTTGATCTGAGGATAAAGCTCTGAGGCGACAGCCGCTGCGGAGACCCTGCCCGGAGTGCCCTCCCCAGATGAGAAGCAGCGGGCGGACAAACGGACCTACCGACGGAGCAACTGGCGCGGGCCCGCCCCGGACGCGTCGCCTGGGCAGCAGCCGGGGGCCGCGGGCGCTCGCCTTTCTGCCGACTTCTTCCAATTCTAATCTTTTTTTGTATTTTGGAAAGAACCGGGGTGGGTGGAGCAGAGGTGGAGAGAAATCGGGACTTGGCATTTTCTCCCTTCTCTCTCTCCTAATTTGAGGGAGGCTGCCAGCCCTCCCCTTAAAAAAAAAATCCCACCACAAAAAAAAAAACAAAAAAAAAACACACAGAGAGAGAGATAGAAAGAACGCTGCAGGACCCTCCAGCGAGCGCGCTCGAACCCCCCTGGCCGCCACCGCGGCGGCCGCCGGGAGCCCAAGATGGCTGGGCGCTGAGGGAGGCAGTCCGGCTCGACTGGCTTGGCCCGGCCCCGCCGCCGCGGGCTGGCTCCGACCGCAGCCCCGAAGGCCGGAGGAGAGGCCGAGAAGAAAAGAAAGTGGGGGGGGGAGGGGGGCCGGGGGGGCGAAGGGGGGGGGCCGGGGGGAGGGGAGGGCCGGGAGCCGAGCCTCCTGTTCATTAGCAGTTGAGAAAAATTCCTTTCTAGTTTGATCAATCCTTGTTTTCCTCGGCAGAGCCGGGGCGCCCGCCCAGCGCGGAGACTGAGAGCGGGGTCTCTCGCGGCGGGGGCGCCCGGCGCCGGGCCTCGGGGGAGCGCAGAAGTAGCGACGAGGGGGTCAGGCCGGAGCACCGACGGGGCTTCTTCTCCCTCCCTTTCTGGTTTTTTTTTTTCCACTTCTCTCCCTCCCCCTTCCGTTTCTATTTGTGAAGGGAGGAGGAAGGCAGAGGCGGGCTGGTGTCTCTGGCCGGGGACTGGAATTTCATCTGAATGACTGCCCCTGCGCTCACGCAGTGCCCCGGAGTCGGCCCGCCTGCGCCCCGCAGCCCGCACCCGCAGACGGCCGGCCAGCCGGGGGGCGCCCGCGCCGCGGCCCGGGGACCGGCTTGCCTCGCCCTCCTGGTCCGGATCTAGCAGTCCGTGGCGCGGCCGCACTCGCTTCTCCGGCCTCTCAGACCCTGGACGAGGCGAGGGAGGCGCGGCGCCGGCGAGCCAGGAGAGAGCCACCATTGCCGCCGCCGTCGCTGGAGGAAGTGTGCGGCTCCCGGGCTCTGTCCGCCTTGGGGCGCGCCCCAATGTCAGCCGCGGGGCCGAGTGCAGGCCGTGGGCCGCCGCTGCCCTAAGCGCGCCGATCGGGAGGCGGCCTCTTATATGGAATTTGGACCCCGGCACTCCCCTCCAGGGCTGGTGCCCCGGCCGCGGCCCTGGCGCAGTCCGCGGTCTCCCGCTAGGCGCTCGGGAGGAGGAGGAGGAGACGCAGCCGGCTGCGCGCGCTGCGTGAGGACCGAGGCTCCCTCCTCTGGGGGGCGGGCGCGCGGAAGGCGCTGGTGACTGAGCGACTCTCGGGGCCGCCGGGGCCCGGAGCTCGGGGCTTGGTGGGCCTGTAGTGGCACCGGACGGACCCCCAGAGTTGGGGAGTTGGGGAGACCTGCCCGGGCCCCCTGCCCGCAGCCGCTATGGCGGAGAATTGGAAGAACTGCTTCGAGGAGGAGCTCATCTGCCCCATCTGCCTGCATGTCTTCGTGGAGCCGGTGCAATTGCCGTGCAAACACAACTTCTGTCGGGGCTGCATTGGCGAGGCGTGGGCCAAGGACAGCGGCCTGGTGCGCTGCCCAGAGTGCAACCAGGCCTACAACCAGAAGCCGGGCCTGGAGAAGAACCTGAAGCTCACCAACATCGTGGAGAAGTTCAACGCCCTGCACGTGGAGAAGCCGCCGGCGGCGCTGCACTGCGTGTTCTGCCGCCGTGGCCCCCCGCTGCCGGCGCAGAAGGTCTGCCTGCGCTGCGAGGCGCCCTGCTGCCAGTCCCACGTGCAGACGCACCTGCAGCAGCCCTCCACCGCCCGCGGGCACCTCCTGGTGGAGGCGGACGACGTGCGGGCCTGGAGCTGCCCGCAACACAACGCCTACCGCCTTTACCACTGCGAGGCCGAGCAGGTGGCCGTGTGCCAGTACTGCTGCTACTACAGCGGTGCGCATCAGGGACACTCGGTGTGCGACGTGGAGATCCGGAGGAATGAGATCCGGGCAAGTACCCTACACACAAACACACGCACAACACACACACACACACACACACTCTCTCTCTCTCTCTCTCTCTCCTTCTCTCTCTCTCTCCCCCTCTCTCTCCCTACCGCCTGGGGATCACCCATCCGGACAGGCTGACTCTTGTGACATCAGGCCAGAGGTTCCCTTACAAACTCCTCTGTAAGTTTGGAGGCAAGGTCCTGGGAAGTAGGATCCCCCATCGGTACTTGATATTCCTGCACCTGTGCTCATAGGGGGCATCTTGTGAGGCATTTATAGAATTGAGGTGTGGGGCTGTCAGGGGTAGAGTTTGGCTGTCGCTTTTCTGTTTTGCGCGCAGCTCCCTCCCCTGGCGTTGTTTCCGTAGGCCCTACGGGAAGTCACTAAAGGGAGTGACCCAGGTCCTGCTTCTCCAGCTGCTGTTTATGTAATGAGTGTCCTGGTGCCGCTGCTGTGGCTGACATGATCCATGATGCTGGCATACCAATGAGGAAGTAAACAAAAGCAGCCATGTTAGTTTCAAGCCCTAGTGGAAACACATTGGGGGGGCGGGGGGCTGGAGGGGGAGCTTCCGGAGGGAGAGCAGAACTCCTGGTATCTATCTGGCCAAGGCCTGGACAGCCAACAGCATCACCGGACAGCATCTCAGCTATTCGGATTATTCCCCATAGCCCGCTCTCCATGTGTGAGAATCGCTGCCCACTGTGTGCCTGTGCGTATTGCACGCGTCTGCATGAACACACCTTAAAGTATGTCTTCATCACTCTGAGCGCTTTTCTCCCAGCCCAGCCCTCTATCACAGCCCTCCCACATTTGGGGAGGAGAAGTGGAAGATGGAAGAAGAATCCTGTGGGTTTAAGGTTGAGCCGCCTTGCAATCTGGTTTCAGGCAGCTGGCTCCCCTGGGCTGCCGGCTGGGTGATTACGGAACCGCATCCCCTCCCATTGTATACACCCTGTAGCAGCAGCCAATGTCAAAACCGCCTTCCCCCTCAGGCCTCTGGGGCTGGCCTGGCTTTGGAGCTGGACTGAAGCAATACTTCCGTCCCCTTCAGTGGAGGGGGGCTCCTCCTGGGTTCCTCCCAGGTCCCCTGGCTTTCAGGGTTGAGTCATACCAGAAAGAAGGGGTTGGCCTGAGACTGTCTGAGCCATCTCAAGCCCCAGCTTGGGGCCTGGGTGTGATATCATGGGGGTGAGGTTGGGCTTTGGTAGGACTGGGAGTGTTTATGGGTGGGGGCCCCTGGAGTCTAGTCGAGGCCAGTGGGGAGCTTCGTTATGAGGAAGCTCTGAGCAGGGGACGGTTGTAGATGGGGGCTGTTTCCTGTAGGGGGACCAGTCAGAATGAGTCACTGTTCAGCAATTAAAAAACATACACATACCACTAACAAAAGGCAGGAGGGTTGCCACAGGCTGAGGGCAGGGATAACAAATAAAATTTGCTGTATAATTAGTTTCTAATCGGATGGGCTAGCTCTGGGGTTTTGTGCCAGGACAGAGCCTCTGGTTTCTTAAAGGAAGTGTGGGTGGGGGATGGAGAGAAGAGCCTCCCCCTACCACCAGGGTTGGAAAAGGCAGAGGCCTAGGGGAACAAATGAGCCCCTAGTGTACCCCGCCCCCCACCCAGGGCAGGCAGAGCCCAGACTTTCCCTAGTATTGGGAAGCTGCTGCTATTAATAAAGATGCAAGGGCTGGGGAGGAGGCTGGGAAAAGTGCAGAGGCAGGAGAAAGGAAGGCTGTCCAGTTCTCTGTCCTGGGATTGACAGTGGAAAATGAGAGCAAGGGAAAGGTGGAGATGGGGCTGAAAGGCACAGAAGAGGGGACAGCAACCAGGGTGATGAGTGAATGTGCGCCCGCACCCGCGGCTTTGCCCTTAGTTGCATCGGTGGTTGGTTGGTGGGTGTGAGCTCAGGTGTCTTTCGTTTAGGTGGGGGAGAAAACACAATTTTACCTGACTTGGTAGTAAGAGGGTGTCTGTAGATGTGGGTCTGTGTTTGTGAGTGTCTCTGAGACTGTCTGCTTTGCCCTCAAATGCACCTGTCCCCTGTCTGCGTAGTTGGGGGATGGGGGGGTGGCACACATACGCATAGTATACCCTGGGGTTCCTACTGGCAGGTCCCTGATCCCCCAGCTCGTGGAAGGAACTGGATGGAAGCAGGCCCTGAACTTTGTCAGCAGCTCCATGTGTGTGCGTCTGCGTGCGTGCGTGCGTGTGTGTGTGTGTGTGTGTTCTTGTGTTCGTTCCTGTTCCTGGTATGGGCAGGCTCAGAAGCAGTGGGTTGCATCACAGCCAGATGTGCAGTTCTGTGCGCTCAGCATCTGTGCCCCACAGCCTGAGTCTCGTCCCCCTCCAGGCTCCCCTACCCCACGCCCTCCAGATTCTCTCTGGTGTCCCAGGGCACTGGAGTTGGAAACCCTTCAATGGCCCAGTGCCACTCACTGTGAGTTGGACTTATTGAACGAGTAGGAAGAGGGGCCCCACCCTCAGGGGAGGGGGTAAGCCACAAAGAACCTGAATGGAAGAACCCATTGCACCCCATCCTCTCTAGGCTAGCCATGGGGAGGGGTGTTTTCCTGGGCTTCTTTTCCCTTGTGGGAGGGAGTCTGTCTTAAAGGGCCTCTGCTGGTACCACGGATGAAGGCAACAGAATTATCCCAGATGCAGGAGCAGAAGCATGGAAACGTGGCACACACCTTAAGATATAGCTCTGCTTCTTGTGCTTCCTCTTCCGTTGTCCCAGGGAGGGGCAGGGGCTGCTGAAATGCCCTACTGGCTAGGAATAGGAAACGCTGATCAATCTCCCCCTGGTGGTCCTCCACACGCATACTCAAAGCACCCACCTGTGCAGTGGCCTAGAGCTGGGGCCCAGCAGGAATGCAAGCAGGGCTTCTGCCTAGCAGGGGACTAGCCGGGGGTCTCAGAGTCAGGCCTTCGAAGTCCTTGCCCCACTCCGCCCTTGGGAAGCCAATGTGTAAGCCACGTTGCCATGAGGCCTGGATGCCCATTGGGTAGACCACAGAGAACACTCTAAGACATGCCTAGACCCCAAATGTGTTCTCCCTTGGGGCTATGGGAGGCTAAGGGCCCAAGATTGGGATATCCAGGTGGACTCAGGTGTGGCGGCCCTAGGTGGTCAAACCCTCTTCCAGCCCCTGGGTTTAGGGGTTCATGTGAGGAACTCGGGACTGGTATGAGCTGGGAGCACCTCTATCTCATGACCTCCTTCAACATAGAAAGAAGATCCAAGATAAGGCCTAGTTATATCTGTGAAGGGCTATGCAGGGTGTGTGTGTGTGTGTGTTCAGGTCATAGTTGTGCCTCTGTGTCATTCCTAGTACCCCAGACAGGTTGGAAATGTGCGCAGGACCCTGTTCCTTGCATTCTCGAAGGTTTAGAGTTGAGAGGAGATGTTCTCTGGGGACAGGATCCCACTTCTTGGGCCAGTTTGGGGTTTGCAGCTCTGGGGGTGAGGTCATCCTGCTCACATTTTCCATGGCCGGAGGGGCTGCCCTGGGACCCTGGAGGGGATCCTAGGTCTCCACCCCACGTGTCTGTCTCCAGGTGGGCTCTGGGAGTGAGGGCCGCCCTGGCCCAGCTATAGCCGGGCTGTGGCTGCAGCCTGGGTCAGGCGGTATGGACCCCACCACTCTCCGCTGCCCCCGACCATAACCCTGAGGCCTCAGGTGGGGTGGGAGGTGGGAGGGTCAAGTGGCTGCTCCTTCCTTGACCATCTTGAAGGACCGGGAAGAGGGGGCCTGACTTGGCCTTCCTCCCTGGCCCCGGGCAGAGGAGCCTCGCAGAGGAGCCTGAGGCGGAGGCCCAGCCCCCCACCTCCACCCCAGGATCCTGCTGACACAGGCAGACCAGACGCCTGTCGTGCACGCCCTGCTGATGACTCTGCGTGCTGCAGCTCCGGGTGCCTGTGCATCCAGGTCTGTCTGCAGGTGTGTGTGTGCGCGTGTGTAACCAGTGCGTCTGGTTGTGCATCTCACATGGGACTACTTTTTGTATCTCAACGTGTGTATCTCTGAGAAGGTGCAGTGTGAGTGACTGACTTAATTACGGAGTTGTCTTGTGTGTGGCTATGGGGTCGGCAAGGTGTGCACGTGTGTGTGTGTGTGTGAGCAAGAGGAGGGTGCCCTGCTTGCCATTCACCTGCGAGTTGAAGTTGAGTGTGCACACATATCTGTTGTTGACAGCGCTAGTGTGTTCCTACCTGATGGTGGTTGGTTGGTGGGTGTGAGTCTTGTGTGACTTTCTCACCTGGTGGAGGTGTTGGGGAGGGGAGGGGACTCACCTTCGGTGAGCTCGTTGCCTGTAGTGGGCTTTGGAGGTGGAAGCCCGGATGGATCCTGCGATGCTGTGTTGTGGGCATTTGGGGTGGTCATAGGAAGAAGCGGAGCCCGGCTTGGGCCCCAGCCCTGGACCGAGCAGGCAGGCTTGGCTGGCCTCATCCCTGGCTCTGGGAAAGCCTTCCTTCCCGGCTGGCCTGGCATTCAAACACAGACAAAGGGGGGCTTTCTCTCTCGCCTCTTTGTTCTGCTGCCCCAGAGCAGTGCACTCTGCATGGCAAAAGCTAATTCCACTCTGCAGCTGGGAAACCCTCTCTGGGGTCTGCCGGGACTTGCCTCCGAGGTGCTGCCTTTCTCCTTGTCCCTGGTTCCTGCTCTGTAGCCTCTTCTCTCTGGGTCTGTGATTGCCCGCAGCCTGGGGGTCCACATGGTAGCCCCAGGTAGGGGCTGAGGCATGGGAAGGGACAACTAAGGCTGAGGCCAGGAGGGAGTGCTGTGGCCCAGGGAGAGGGGAGGCTGACGTATTCCTGGGACAAGGGCTTATGTGGGAGAGTGGGGGGTGGCTTTGGCAGCTGGGGAGGAGGTTAGGAGGGGGTAGCTCTGAGCGGGGGCTTCATCCAGAGCTGGAGCTGGCATGAGAGTCATCTGGGCAGGGATCCCAGCAGGCAGAGGTACTCCAGCAGCCCAGCGCCCTCTTCCCGCCTCCACCCCATCACAGGGGCTGCTGGTCCCAGCTCTGGTCCCATCTACAAACTTGAGGTCTGCCTCTGGCCCAGATCCTGGGGCCCTGCTCCCTCCTGACTTTGCTTCTCTTCAAGGTTGACTTGAGGGTTTTATTATTATCATTTATTAACTTTTATACAGCCTAGAGTCCCAATGGCCTTACCCGTCTGCCCAGTCCAGTCTGGCATCAAAAATGCCAGCTGGGCCTGGCCAGTCAGTCTCCAGAGCGCTGTGGGTGAGGCTTTCCCAGGGCAGGAATGTGAGGGGCTCATGATTGCCCCCCTCCCCAGGCTGGGAGGGGCTTTGGAGGGAGCAGCTCAAGGCAGAGTCTAGAACATTAGGCGACAGATATGAGGGTCCTGGAGGGGTGGGAATGGTGTGCCCCCAAGTCTTCCTGATGCCTTTGCCCTCACAGACCCAGGAGCAGACCGTGGAAGGCCTTAGGTCCTTAGGGAAGGACAGGGACAGCAGTAAGCAGGTCCCATCTGGGCCAGCAGGTGTAGCGTGGGGCTGGGCCTCCAATTGCCCCTGCCCCTGCTGGAGGCCTGGTTCCTCAAGTGCTCCTAGCCTAGACCATTCTAGTCTCCCCTCTGTACCTGCACACCTGAAATGTGCCACAATCCAGATGACCCACTCTGGGCTGGGAGCAGTTTGTAAGGTGCCCTCCCCCACACTGAGAGGACTTGCCCTGAATCAAGCTGGGAAATCTCTCCGCTGTGGGTTTTTCCCAGGCGGGCAGTGGAGCCTCAGCTCTCAGTAGTTCTGAGAGGTTGGGATGGAAAGGAGGCTGCTGGTAGTGGGGAGGGGTCCTTGCTTCCTCTGTTCCCCATCTCCCAGCTTCTCAGCAAACTGATTCATTCACTGGTGGAATCGAGGTGAGGGGTACTAAAGGGGCAGCAAGTGGATATTTCCCTTCCTCCCCACCACCCCGATTTTCCAGTGCCTGAGGTAGCAGTGTCCCCCCGCCCCCTGCTTCCCCCCGGTGTTGGCTGTGGCAGGATTAAGAGCACCTAGCCCCGAGGGATCACCATTCCTGCAAGGGCGAGCTGGCCATGGTGGGCCCCCCGCCCAGCCCTCCCTGGCTGGCATTCCCTGGCCAGTTTCCTTCCTATTCCTGGCCCTTCCCTTCCCTCTGTAGTGGAGACAGAAGCCCAATGGCCTCTGAGCTGGGGGAGAGCCAATGAAACCCAGACACCTGCTAGGCAGTGTGGCCACTGCCTTTGCTAGACCTGGACTGGGCTCCACCCCAGAGGGCTCTGGGCAGGCAGGAACCAGGACCTGGACCTGGAAGCCAAGGGAAGACACCTCAGGGTCCCAGCGTGGCCGTGCTGCCAGGAAAGGATCTGAGAAAAGCCTAGATGGCGGAAGGGGGCTGAGCCCCACTCCCCAGGACAAGACAGGAAGTGCCTCCCTTGGCTGTGCCCTGAGGGGTCAGCCATGAACTCCCTGAATGGGTTGCAGGGGAATGGGACAGAGGCCTCCCACGGGCCTAGAGGGTGGGAGTGAACAGCCCCATTCCAGGCCTCTGAGGGAAGTGGGGCTGAGATCCTATCTGGGGCTGCCTCTCTTCTGCCCCTCATCTGGGACTTAGCTACAGGTGCACCTCTGATACCAGTGGGTTTGGTCATGAAAAGTAGTTGGGCCAGGAGACCGTGGTGCACAGATGTGAGGGTGTGGCTGGGGCCTGGGCTCTCAGATATCCTGGGCACTGGGAAGGCAGGAGTGGCCTGGAGCCTGAGATGCATCCAAGTTGGAGGGACTGCTTCCCGAGTGTGGGGACGAGGCAGCCAGCAGGCAAAAAATTGAGGGTCAGTTGTAACAGGGGAAGTAAAAAGGTCTCATATCCTTTGGTGGTACCCTGGCCACCTTGCCTTCAGGCAGGCCTCCCTCAGTCATCGGGGGCCTTCAGGAGGGTCAGCCTTCACTGTGCAGGGCTGTGTGTGTGTGACAGTGTGCCCGAGGGGGTCTCAGGGCCCAGGTGGTGGCGTGTGCTTGTGTGTGTGCGTGCAGTTGTATGCGTGTAGGTGGGCCATACTGTGGGGTGCCGCCTGCCCTTTTCACGTGACTGGGGGCAGCTTCACAGGAAGGGAGGGTGTGTGACTACCTCTGCTCCTGCGCCCAGCCAGCTGTGTTTCTCTGCAGGCTCTGACTCTCAGGCTGGCAGCAGATCCATGTGCATGTTGGGCTGGGGGTGGGGGGCAGGGCAACATCTCCTAGGGCTGTCTCTTAGGGTACTGTCCTGGGTCACTGAAAGGTCAAATTGTTGCGGGGGTGGGGGGGGGTGCCCCAGGCTTTCCCAGCTCAGAATCTGAGAGCCTCACCCCCTACCTCCTCCTGTCCCCAGGGCCCTGGTTCTAGGGTAGCCACCAACAAAAAACAGGGTCGCTGAACTCTCTTGGCTGGCCTTGGTTTCCCCATATGTAAAGGGGTTTGGGGAAATAAGGAAGGGATTGGTGGCAGCTTGTCTTTTGGAAGCCAGCTGAGTGTGGACAGGAGTAGGGGTCATGGGTCAAACTTGAGGGTCACTTTGAGGTCCACACAGAGGAAGAAAAAGAACCACTTCTTGTTGAGTGGACACTTACTGTGAGCTAGGTTCTGTGCAATCTGCTTTGCAAACCTTGTTTTGTGTGCAAAACCCATGGGTTTAGTCAGGAAACACATTATGCATCTGTAGGGTGCTGGGGCCTTTGTGGGTCCCGGCTAGGAAAGGAAGTGGAAAAATACAGCAGCAAAGCCCTGTTTTCAAGAGGTCTTGAGTTTTGTTTGGAGATTAGACCACAGTTGGTCAGACTATAGAATAGTGTTTTCCTATAGCTCTTTCTGTGAGATGGTCACATTTTGTGTTTGTGGTGTCCAGTACATTAGCCACTAGCTACATGTAGCTATTGAGCGCTTGAAATGAGGCTGGTACAACAGAAGAACTGATGTTCAATTTAATTTATTTTTAACTAACTTAAAATGAAATAGCCACATGTGACTAGTGGCTACTGTATTGGACAGTACAGCTACAGAGGGAGAGCAGAATGTGACAGCCCCTCGTATGGCCGAGACAGGGAGGGTCCTGCACAGACTCCGAGCAGGGGCCATGGAAAGTTTCCTAGAGGAGCAGGACCTTAAGCTGGGCTTTGAAGGATAGACAAGGGATGGGGAGAAGGCACTGTGGGCTGCAGAAAAACACCAGCTGGGTGCAGGGAGGAGTTCAGATTTGCAGTGTCAGGGACAGGATACCAGCCCACCTGGCTGGGAGAGTCAGGTTGTAAGTAAGAAAGCCTACAGAGTTTGGAAGGAGGGGTCATCGAGGGATCTTGGGCAGGAGAGAGACCCTGTTTGAAGAGGTGTATCTGGCAAGGGAGGATGACAGGGCGGCTGGAACAGCTGGGATAGGCAGGTCTGGGGAGAGAGGGCTTGTAGAGACAGAAGATTAAGGGCTGAGAAGAGCAGCATGGTCCCGAACCTTCCAGCAGACTGACCTTGGGTCTTAGGAGAGCCAGAGTTTCCTTTCCACCCAGGTCCAACTGAGGGGCTGAGGGAGTTAGCAAGGACTTCAGAGGCCTAGCTCTCAGCATCAAGAGCAAGCAAGGGGGCAGCTGGCTGGCTTGATGCCCCCCAAGTATAAGGCAAACGTCAGGTGAGATCTCTGGACCGGGCCAGAGGGCCTGTGAGACCCGGGAAGGTTGTGTGACCCTCTGCATCGTTTCTGAGATGGTGCTCCCCAGAGAGAGGCAACATGACTTGGATAAGAACAGACCCTACTACCTGGTCATTTCGGTTTGTATTCCAGCTCTGACACTAGCTGTGTGACTTTGGGTGAATTACTTAACCTTTCTGGTTTCCTCTTCTCTGAAATGAGGGTAATAATAGTATGTATCTCATAGCATTACTAGAATGATCAGTTAAGTCTATACAGGAAAAGTGCTTACAACAGAGGCAGGCCTGACCCTGCCCTCAGAAAGTTTATGGTTTAGATACGTGTGGGAAGCATTCCAGGCTTTTTCGTCCTGGGGACAGGCTGGCCAGACAGTTGTCACCAGGCCCCGGGGATTGCATGGGAGCCAGAGGGGGTGGGGGGGGCAGACATTTTAGGTCATCTGGAAGAAGGATCCACAGGATGAGTCTGTTCTGTAGAGGTGGGGACGGTGTCGCCCGCTCCGCTGAAGCTCCTCCCCCAACTGTCTCTGCAGAAGATGCTGATGAAACAGCAGGACCGGCTGGAGGAGCGAGAGCAGGACATCGAGGACCAACTGTACAAACTCGAGTCAGACAAGCGCCTGGTGGAGGTAGCTAAGCCCAAGCCCATGGTATGAGGTGGGGGGCGGCTTGGGTACTGGGCCTTGGGCTAGGATCTGTTGCGTGGTCGGCTCTATGCCGGAATCCCTTGGTCAGTCATTCAATGAACCGTCAGTGGATGAGCCCCCCACTGGTGCCAGGGTACCTGTAAAGAGCCCTGTGCTACCAGTGGGGGATTGGCAGGTCAGACTTTGCCTTTGGGAGCCCTGGGCAGCCTGGGGCTTTGGGGTCCCAGACTCCCCCATCCAGTATGTGAGACAGGCAGGAGCAGCAGCCTGAAGTCCCCAGTACTTACCTGCCCACCCACTCTTGCCCCGGTGCCCGCAGGAGAAGGTGAGCCAACTGAAGGAGGAAGTGCGGCTGCAATACGAGAAGCTGCACCAGCTGCTGGATGAGGACCTGCGGCAGACGGTGGAGGTCCTGGACAAGGCCCAGGCCAAGTTCTGCAG